CCCCCCCCCCCCCCCCCCCCCCCCCCCCCCCCCCACCCCCACCAGTGTCTAATCGACATGTCCGCCTCGCGACTGAAATGGTAACCTACATCCCCTACACACACCAACCACACACACCCACCCACACCACACACACCACACACCACACCACACACACACACACTCACACCACAACACATACAGACACACACACACACACAATACACACACACCACGCCTACCACACCACACACCACCCCCAAACGCCCCCCCCCACACACCCCCCCCCCACACACACACACGCCACACACCACGCCCACACCCACGCTTCACACACACACACACACACACACACACACAACACAACCACACACACACCGCCCATACACGCCACACACGCCAAACACGCCACACACACACACACCACACACACACGCCCACACCGCCCACACAACACACACACACCACACACACACACACACACACACACACACACACACACAACACTCACACCACCACGATCACACCACACACACACAACACACACACACACAAACACACACATCACACACACACACACACACTCTCACACACACGGCCCCACACGCCCTCACACGCCCAACACGCCCACCACACCACACACACACACACACACACACACCACAACCACACACACACCACACACACACAAAAACACACGACAAACACACAACACCACACACACACACACACACACACCACAACAAACACACACACCAATGAGTCAAGAGAGATAGTAGGAAGTATTTCTTTCAGTCATAGGTGTAAGGCAGTGGAATAGCCTAGAAAATGGACGTATGGAGGCAGGACCATACACAGTTTTAAGACGAGTTTGATAAAGCTCATGGAGCGGGGGAGAGAGAGGGCCTGGTAGCCAACCCCAAAACACGGTGAAGAGGCGGGGCCAGGAGCTAGGTACTCGACCCTGCAACCACAAAATAAGGTGGTACAATAGGTGAGTACACAACACACACACACACCCACATACAACCTCACCACAAGCCGACACACCCACACACCCACACTCCCACACACACACACCCACACACACCACACACCCACACGCACACACACACAACACACACACACACACACCACACACACACACACAACACACACACATCACACACACACAAACACACACACACAAGCCCACACACACACCCACCCACACACACACACACACACACACACACACACACACACACACACACACACACACCACACATACACACACACACACACACACACACACACACACCACACATTCACTGCACTGCTCATAAAACACCCATGGGGATTTGAGGGAAATAGAAGGGAATGGACTGATTGAAGAAAGAGACTACATAGTAGGTACAATTCAGTCCGGATAACATAAAGTAGTCATTGGAGTGATCGTATAACCCACACAGAACTGCAGGAGGCCAAGGGGAGTACGGATGAAAACACAGGGTGATGTGGACACAACTGGCTGAGGTGGCAAGAAGAGCTCACTTCGAGCGAGCAAAAGTTACTGGTAATGGGCGATTTCAACCAAGGGAGATCGACTGGGAAAACCTGGAGCACATGGGGGTCCCGAAAACCATGGAGAGCAAGGATGATGGATGTGGTATGAAACCTCATGCATCAAACATGTCAGGGGACACAACCAGAGAGAGAGGGGAGGATGAGCACAGCAAGACTGATCTTGTGTTCACCTGAGCAGTTCAGACATTGAGGTGACATCATTACGAGAGGCCCCTTGGGAGCTAGGATCATGTGGTTCTGAGTTTTGACTATATAGTAGAGTTACAGTGGAGAAGGTAAACAGGAACTGAAGCCCAGGGCTCACTAGGCCAAACTATAAAAGCGGGGAGACTACACAGGTATGAGAAACTTCCTGCAGAGGTTCAGTGGGACAGAGAAATGGTAGGGAAAATCAGTAACGAGATGATGGAATATGTGGCAACAAAGTGCAAGGAGGCAGAGGAAAGTTTTGTTCCCAAGGGAAACAGAAATAATAGGAAGACCAAAACGAGTCCTTGGTTTACCCGAAGGTGTAGGGAGGCAAAAACTAAGTGCAACAGAGAATGGAAAAGGTACAGGAGGCATAGGACCCAGGGAAAACAAGGAGATTAGTAGAAGAGCCAGAAACGAGTATGCGCGATAAGAAGGGAGGCCAGCGACAGTATGAAAACGACATAGCATCGAAAGTCAAATCTGACCGAAACTGCTGTATTAGCCCACATTAGGAGGAAGGTCAACAGTCAAGGACCAGGTGATAAGGCGAGAAAGAAGGTGGAAGAACTCACAGAAACGATCAAGAGGTATGTGAGGAGCTCAACACGAGATTTAAGGATGTATTTACAGTAGAGACAGGAAGGAACTCTGGAGGGACAGGACGAGATGGGACACCAGCAAGGAATACACCAAAAGTGTTGGACGACATACATTACTGATGAGGGAGGAGTGAAGAAACTGCTAAGGGACATCCGGTACCTCAAAGGCAATGGGACCGGACAAATCTCTCCGTGGGTCCTTAGAGAGGGAGCAGATATGTTGTGCGTGCCACTTTACCACAATCTTAACACATCCCTGGAACTGGGCAAATACCTGAGGTATGGAAGACGGCAAATGTAGTTCCATTTTCAAAAAGGAGACAGAAAAGAGGCACTAAAACTATAGACTGTGTCATTGACGTGTATAGTATGCCAAAAATTATGGAGAGGATTATCAGGAGGAGAGTGTGGAGCACCTGGGAACGGAACAGGAGTATAAATGCCAACAGCACGGATTCACGGAAGGCAAATCCTGTGTCACAAACCTTCTGTGAGTTTTATGATAAAATAACAGAATAAGACAAGGAGAGAGAGGGGTGGGTTGATTGCATCTTCTTGGACTGCAAGAAGCCTTTGACACAGTTTCCTCACAGAGATTAGTGCAGAAGCTGAGCATCAGGCGCATATAAAACAGATGGCACTGCAATGGATCAGAGAATGCCTGACTGGGAGGCAAACAAACGAGTCATGGTACACGGTTAATGATGTATCACAGGGGCAACTTGTGACGAGCGGCGGTCCACAGGGGTACGGTCCTAGGACCAGTGCTTATTTTTGGTATATGTGAACGACATGACGGAAGGGTTAGGCTCAGAAGTGTCCATGTTTGCAGATGATGTGAAGTTACATGAGGAGAATTAAATCTGTGAGGACCAGGCAGGGACTTCAATGAGGACTCTCGGACACAGACTGGACACCTGTCCAGCAAATCGGCTTCTCGAATTTAATCCTGCAAAGCAAAGTATGAAGATAGGGGAGGGCACAGAAGACCACAGAACGAGTATAGGTGGTGGCCAAAGGACTGCAAACCTCCACTCAAGGGAAAGATCTTGGGGGTGAGTATAACACCGAGCTTGTCTCCGGAAGCACACATCAATCAGATAACTGGCGCAGCATAATGGGCGCCTGGCAATCCTGAGAACAGCATCCGATAACCTTAGTAAGGAATCATTCATGACATGTACACCGTGTATGTCAGGCCCATACGGTGTATGAGCACCTGTATCGGACCCGCACTTGGATAAACACGTCAGAAACTAGAGAAAGTACAAGGTTTTGCGACAAGGTTAGTTCCAGAGCTAAGGGAAATGTCCTATGAAAGAAAGATTAAGGGAAATCGGCCTAACGACACTGGAGGACAGGAGGGTCAGGGGAGACATGATAACGACATATAAAATAGCGTGGAAATAGACAAGGTGGACAAAAGACAGGATGTTCCAGGGAGCGGGACACAGAAACAAGAGGCCACAATTGGAATTTGAATACACAATGAGTCAGAGAGATAGTAGGAAGTATTTCTCAGTCATAGAGTTGTAAGGCAGTGGAATAGCCTAGAAAATGACGTAGTGGAGGCAGGAACCACACACAGTTTTAAGACGAGGTTTGATAAAGCTCATGGAGCGGGGAGAGAGAGGGCCTAGTAGCAACCGGTGAAGAGGCGGGGCCAGGAGCTAGGACTAGACCCCTGCAACCACAAATAGGTGAGTACACACACACACACACAAGCCCCCACACGCACCCACACACATACACACACACACACACACACACACACACACACACACACACACACACACACACACACACACACACACACACACACACACACACACACACACACGAGCGCACACCGTATACAACAGGCCTAGTGCCTAATCGACATGTGCCTATGACAAAATGGTAACTAGCCTTCAATCCAGCTATCATCATTCTGTCATGCAGGAGCCACATGTCTGCATCCAACAGAATCAGCAGTCTTGGATGTCACTACCACTGGGATCCGGGTGGGATACAAGATCCGGGTGGGCTACAAGATCCGGGTGGGCTACAAGATCCGGGTGGGCTACAAGAACCGGGTGGGCTACAAGATCCGGGTGGGATACAAGATCCGGGTGGGCTACAAGATCCGGGTGGGCTACAAGATCCGGGTGGGCTACAAGATCCGGGTGGGCTACACGATCCGGGTGGGCTACAAGATCCGGGTGGGCTACAAGATCCGGGTGGGCTACAAGATCCGGGTGGGCTACAAGATCCGGGTGGGCTACAAGATCCGGGTGGGCTACAAGATCCGGGTGGGCTACAAGCGTAGCTACAGCATCACGCCTAAGCTCTGGTCTTCAATATTTTGTTCATTATATAATGTTGTTAAATTTGCAGCACTTACTAATGCCTCCTTTAATACATTGCCCTGGTCAATCACACTATTTAAGAAAAACAATTTTCTACCATCCTTTTCGCACAACTTTCTCTTCAGTTTACAACTGTGTCCTCTTTTTGAAGATGTTTTATGTGGTCATAATTTCTGCTGTTTTCTTCTTATTATCCAACATGGGCAGCTTTAATGTTCTCAGCTTTCCATCATAGTTCATGTCACTCAACTCTGGCAACCGAAATGTAGCTCTTTTCTGATCATTTTCGAACTTATTTATGTGTCTCTTTTTTCAGGTGTGGGTACCACACCACCGCTGTATATTCCAATTTTGGCTTCACATAAGTTATAAACAACTTTTCTAACATTTCAACCTACATCTATTTGGAAGGTATGTTATAATTTGTAAGTGTAGTATAAAAATTTCTCAGTTTCATGATAATTCTTTGTTAATAATGACGTCTAGATCCCTTTCTCTATGTGATAGTTTCAATATTATACCACAGTCTGTATTCCACATGTGACCTGATTTCACTTTCTCCCACTTATATTACTTGCCATTTATCTATGTACAGTACATTAAATTCCATCATCCATCTATCATTCCACATGCTTAATGTATCTAGATCTTGTATATATTTACATTGTGTGTGTGTTTGTGTGGTGGAAGTTTATTATATTCTTTGATATCTTACAGGAGCTTCGTGTGAGTCAACATGGCCGACCACCACCAACACCAGCGTCAAGCCCAGCACCTACCCCAGCACCTACCCCAGCACCTACCTGAGCACCTACCTGAGCACCTACCTGAGCGCCTACCTGAGCGCCTTCCTGAGCGCCTACCTGAGCGCCTACCTGAGCACTTACCTGAGCACCAATCTAAGCGCCTTTCTGAGCGCCAGTCTCAGCACCTTCCTGAGCGCCTTTCTGAACGCCAATCTCAGCATCTGCCTGATCGCCTGCCTGAGCGTCAATCTCAGCGCCCACCTGAGCGCCTGCCTGAGCGTCAATCTCAGCGCCCACCTGATCGCCTTCCTGAGCGTCAATCTCAGCGCCCACCTGAGCGCCTGCCTGAGCGTCAATCTCAGCGCCTGCCTGAGCGCCTTCCTGAACGACAACACGAACGCCATCATAAAAATCAGTCAGAACGCTTACCTGAACGCCTGTCTGAGCGACTACCTGAACGCCTACCAGAGCGCCTACCCGAACGCCTACCTGAACGCCTACCCGAGCGCCTACCTGAACGCCTACCCGAACGCCTACCTGGACACTTACCAGAACGCCTACCTAGACACTTACCTGAACGCCTACCCGAACGCCTACCCGGACGCTTACCTGAACGCCTACCCGAACGCCTACCCGAACGCCTACCCGAACGGCATCACGAGCGTCAAAGTGATCGCCGACATGATCGTCAACATGAACAACAATACGAACGTCATCACGAACGGCAAGAACGCCAGCACGATCGTCAGCATGAACCCCAACGCGAGCATCAGCATGACCGTCAACACGAACGCCAAGAACACCAACATGAGCATCAACACGAACGTCAACATGAACATGAACACGAACGCAAACTTGAGCATATGGACAATATTCGTCAGTTAGAGCGTCAGCAAGAGAACCTGCGTGAGCTTACTGATGGACGTGCGCGCGAGCTCATTGATGACCGTGCGCACGAGCGTATAGAGGATTTAAAAAATGAACACATTGATGATGGTGCGCGTGAGTGTATTGATGACCGTGAGCAGGCGCTTAGAGAGGAGCGGCAGCAGGAGCGTGAGGAGGAGGTGATGAAGGTAGCAGGAGCAGCAGGTGACACAGTGATGGTAGTAGGTGGGGGAGGGCGCGTATTACGTAGGTCCTCCACTTCTCTGACCACCTCCCTCACCTCCGTGGTCAGCGTATCAGCGGCGGAGGGTCGCGAGAGGACCAGGAACAGTGACAAGATACGCAAGGTGGAGCAGAGCTATCTGGATAGCAGGAGGAGGCCGAGAGGTCGACAGAGTTTTCCTGTGGCCTCCCGTGCGGGGCTCAGAGACGCTCCCAAGGCAAAGGTTGAGAATGGGAGGGTGCAGGCACCCAGCGTCAGTGCCGCTGTGAGTGCCGCCGAGTTAGCTGCCGCCCGCGCCGCTACCGCCGACTCCGACAGAAGGTGCCGTAAGTACAGCAGAAGCGTGAGCAGCCTGGCGTCGGTACTACGGCCGCAAGAGGTAGAAAGGCAACATAAAGCTCACAGGCGCCGACACTCTCAGAAAAGTAACAAGTACGTGGCCAGCGCCACACACGCCCACCCACTACATCCCGCCGCCCTCAACGAAGTCCACGGACGCCCACTGTGGCGTCCGATACCTGCAGCAGCGTCCCTGGCCGACCCCATTAAGCCTAGCATGTCTGGGAGCGCCTCCTGCTGCTATTGCTGTCATGCTGTCAAGACAGCATCCCCCGCTTCCCTCCTCCTCCTCCCTCTACACCTCCTCATCCTCGTCATCTTTATCTCATACCTCATCATGGGGGCATTCATCTTCTCCAAGGCAAGTCTCCATTACCTAAATGTTCATTCCAAGGTGAACATTAAGAACAAGAACACTGCACTAAACATACTGTTCCGCACAAAGCACGTTGGGAAAACGTCTCTTCAATAACATTACCCTAATGTTGCATGTGTCTTGTTTCAAGTTTTTTTTGGTTAGATATCCTCACTACCCTATTTATATCACCCATTATTTTAGGTCTTTCCAAACAGTGCAGTTTCAGGGCTCTGAATCTGTCTTCGTATGTAAGAATCCTTACATAGTGGATTAATTTTGTGATGCGTCTCTGCATGTTCTTAAGTGTATTTATATCCGTTCTTCAGTACAGAGATCAGAAGTGTGCCGCACAGTCTAAGATGAGGCCTTATTAATGGTGTGAACAACGGTATGAACTATTTTTAATGTCTAAGAAGGATTTTCCATACTTTTGATTATTATTATTACTTATTAATTTATTATTATTTATTATTATTATTATTATTATTATTATTATTATTATTATTATTATTATTATTATTATTATTATTATTAATAATTATTATTATTATTGTGCTCATTAAGTCATTTTTATTTATACATTTCTCAGAGTTGTTGTTACCATACATTTTCTTTGAACAGTTTTTACCATAAGTAATAAAAGCCACAATACCTTAACTGCAACAACATGTAACTAATAACACAATACAGTAGCAGCAACAACATGTAACTAATAACACAATACAGTAGCAGCAACAACATGTAACTAATAACACAATATAGTAGCAGCAACAACATGTAACTAATAACACAATACAGTAGCAGCAACAACATGTAACTAATAACACAATACAGTAGCAGCAACAACATGTAACTAATAACACAATACAGTAGCAGCAACAACATGTAACTAATAACACAATACAGTAGCAGCAACAACATGTAACTAATAACACAATACAGTAGCAGCAACAACATGTAACTAATAACACAATACAGTAGCAGCAACAACATGTAACTAATAACACAATACAGTAGCAGCAACAACGTGTAACTAATAACACAATACAGTAGCAGCAACAACATGTAACTAATAACACAACACAGTAGCAGCAACAACATGTAACTAATAACACAATACCGTAGCAGCAACCATTCACAACTGTTAAACAATTCGGCGAGGCAACAGTTCGATGATGGTGTAATCCTGAACCATCATCATTATCATCACTGTAATGAAAATAATAGTTTAGAAAGGACCGAAACGTCACTGAAGATTTCCTCTCGAAATTGTGAGTTGTGAATTGTTCCAGCCAGGGTATTGTGGGTTAGTTGTGAGTTACTGTTTATGGTTCACCCGGCTGCTGCTTGTTACTTTTACTGTTACGTATATGACTACGTTATTCTGTGATTTGTTCACACTACGTTATTGTGTGACTTGTTCAGACTACATTATTGTATGACGTACAGACTGCGTTATTATGTGACGTGTTCAGGTTATGTTATTGTGTGACGTGTCCAGGTTGCGTTATTGCGTGATGTGTCCAGGTTACGTTATTGTGTGACGTGTATATACTACGTTATTATGTGACGTGTCCAGGTTACGTTATTGTGTGGCGTGTCTAGGTTATATTATTGTGTGACGTGTCTAGATTACGTTATTGTGTGACATGTCCAGGCTACGTTATTGTGTGACGTGCCCAGGCTACGTTATTGTGTAGCGTATCCAGGCTACGTTATTGTGTGACGTCTCCAGGTTACGTTATTGTGTGACATGCAAAGGCTACGGTATTGTGTAACGTGTCCAGGCTACGTTATTGTGTAACGTATCCAGGCTACGTTATTGTGTGACGTGTCCAGGCTACGTTATTGTGTGACGTGTCCAGGCTACGTTCTTGTGTGACGTGTCCAGGCTACAATACAGCCTTACGCATACTTTTTTGATTCACAATGCTGCTTCCAGGTATACACCTCCATATGTATACCAAGGAGTACATCACATCTAATGTACACGTGCTAGATATGCACCATCAATGTGTGTACATTCTCACTGATACGGAAGAAAATAATGATGGTTAAACTCTACGGTCATGACTAGTAACATTTCAGTTAGTTGTACACTTGTAGTTTTGAGCAGGTCTACGGGTCTCCCTTGATGCGGGTCCAGGGCCCTTGATTCCAGTAACTGGAACTACCATCTTGACGGACCCTAACGGTTTAGCACTACCCATGAAAATAATAATAATAATAGTAATAATAATAATTATAATACATGTCTTGCGAATCATTTGTTTCAAAATCTAAGCATTTGTTTATAGATTCAGTATTATACACATCAAATGGTTTGTATTCCTCTATAAAATCGTGTTTTAGAGTGTATATGCACTTATATTAATTTAATATCTCAGTTACTTTTTTATAATTCTCTATTATCCGTATTACATCTTTATATTACTTCTGTAGTTTTATTAATTCGGGTTTATATTTAGATTATAAATTTATATTTGGTCTTGTTTAGTCCGAGATGACGAATTTGAACATACACACATGGCAGTATATGTACATGCATATACTGTACATAGTCTGATGTATATACATCGAAATTGTTATTGCTGTTTTTTAATGGTTACTACTGTTTGTGGTGTCTGAGCCTTGCCCCAGCAGTATCACATCTAGCCTGTTGCTTAGCGCTTAGATACTGCTCAATCTGTTCTTGACGCCGAGAAAGGAACACGTAGCACGTAGAATATACAGTAGATGTGAACGTCTGGGTTGTAGCCAGAGCCATTAAGGGCTGGAACTGTCGGATGTCAAACACGTTTTTAAACTTGATCCCGGCGAAGTCTGGTACGAGCGAAGCAAACCCTGCATAGGACACCAAGAATAGCTGGAGGTGTCTGCTGGGTGTAACCTGAAGGAATGTGCTGCCAGAGGGATACTACCAATACGTAGACACACCAAATCTGAACATTTTGATAATAGAGAACGAACATTCTATAATACATATATTTCGCTTTCAGAGGAAAAGAAAGGCCATGTCCTGTCGCAGTGCTCCTTTATGACTTGACAGAGCTCTACCCAGAGCCACACCACGATAGTCAAGCTCTGTAGTAGAGGTTTGCTCTACATTAAGTCTCTGCACTTAAGTTTCGCACCTTTGACGGTGGCACATACAAATGTCTACAACAATTAGACTAATTGTTAGAAATAGTGTTTGACGTACACAAGACCAAACACATAATAATAATAATAATAATAATAATAATAATAATAATAATAATAATAATAATAATAATAATAATAATAATTAACAATATAATAATAATAATAATAATAATAATAATAATAATAAAAAGTTGATTGGCTTATCAACTACACTTAGGTCATTACGGCTACACGTAATCTTTCCACCACCAGACAAGAATACTTGAATCGACAAAATAAGGATTAAAGTTAACTCTCAGCATATATACACGTATATCCCGTGTGTAATAAGTATTTTTATTTCAAATCATTAAACAACAAAACATTAATTAAAACTTGAAATAACCTAAAGAGTTAGATAACTATTTTATTAGTTAGGATAACATGTTAAAACTCTGTAAAGTGGACTCGGAGGTCGCCAAATAAATTATAAACAAAGACACGACAAAACAAGGAAAACTGCCACCCACAACCACAAGATGACAAATAAATTCTTAAAAATTTCACCTGCAGTAATGAATGGGTCACAATAAACTAAAGAATTAAGTGATTAATAAAAAGAATATACTGATAGACTCAATAATGATGAATGTTAGTCTTTTAAGAACAAGTTAGTGATTAAAACAAACAAGTTGGTAAGTTGCTGCTTTTAAAAATAACTTTGTGTTTTAAATGAAACAAGTTAGAAAAATAATGTTTTAAAAAGTTAATGTTATAAAAACAAGCTAGTCTTAGAACAAGCTAGTCTTAAAACAAGCTAGTCTTAAAACAAGCTAGTCTTAGAAACAAGCTAGTCTTAAAACAAGCTAGTCTTAGAACAAGCTAGTCTTAAAACAAGCTAGTCTTAAAACAAGCTAGTCTTAAAACAAGCTAGTCTTAAAACAAGCTAGTCTTAAAACAAGCTAGTCTTAAAAACAAGCTAGCTTAAAACAAGCTAGTCTTAAAACAAGCTAGTCTTAAAACAAGCTAGTCTTAAAACAAGCTAGTCTTAAACAAGCTAGTCTTAAAACAAGCTAGTCTTAAAACAAGCTAGTCTTAAAACAAGCTAGTTCTTAAACAAGCTAGTCTTTAAAACAAGCTAGTCTTAAAACAAGCTAGTCTTAAAACAAGCTAGTCTTAAAACAAGCTAGTCTTAAAACAAGCTAGTCTTAAAACAAGCTAGTCTTAAAACAAGCTAGTCTTAAAACAAGCTAGTCTTAAAACAAGCTAGTCTTAAAACAAGCTAGTCTTAAAACAAGCTAGTCTTATATACAATTAGTCTTAAAACATATTTTTTCCTTTTGGATCATTGTATTCTGTTATCTTATACATATCTTTTCTCCCTTTTGTCGTCCATCTGTAATTATTAGCTGGTGTTTCATCTTGTATTATCATGATGGTGTCTCCCTCTATATGCTCGTTCCTCAACTTGCTTCCTTCATTGAATATTACTGTTGGTAGTGTGAAGCACTTTCACTCAGTACTGTATCTTATCTAAGGATTAGTATCTGTCCTCCATTCTAATACTTATCACCCGCTGTTCCATGGCTGTATAGTCCTGGTGCAGTTTAGTGTTGCGCTTGAGCTGTATAATTACTGATGGTACTGTGGACTCCACAGTCCACCTACTGGGTAGCTGGGTAAGGACCCCTCACTCCACCTGCTGGGTATGGACCCCACGCTCCACCTGAGCACTCATCCATAAATTGTCATTAATAGTAGTTTGAAAGATTCCGTGTTCTGGTGTGCGTGCGTGTGTATAATTTCCCATAGAGATATCCCTTACTCGGATTATTTTTCGGTTCTCTTTCATCACCTTCGCAAGACCTGGCAACAACGTTAATCGCATTGAACCACAACAAACTGTTTATATCAAACTACTTTTAGGATTCTGGCCTTCTTCCCGCTGTTGTCTGATTGGGAGACCACAGTCTCTTGTTTACCTATTAGACACACACGACTCATTCACGGATGTCACATGGAAAAACAATTGGCACCAGTCTGTGAAGACTTGTCAGGTTGCATTGTCCGTCCAATATTTATTAATATTGTACTGCCTATCAAAGTGCACACAGGATCCACGTCAAACGTCTGAAGCTCTCCAACACACTCGCTCTCACTGACCTTGCTGAAAGTCCCACCATTAATACAGGCTCCCTTCGACTTTTTAACTGAAACTAAACCCATTGTACCAATTTTAATTCCAATTTTGCTCGCTCTAGTCTCCATCCTTACTAACTGTTAACTTTATACACCCCTACCTCTCCCTCATCCTTGACCTTTGCACTTTTCTACTTTTATACATCCTTCCCCGCAGTACTGTGTGACCCTTACGGGTTTAACGCTTAATTTGATTATAATATTAATAGTCAACTTAGCACTTGCCAGTTTCACTCCCTCCTAGACTCGTGGTCATTGTCGTACTTGTTCGTGTGAGCGTATGTGCGTGTGTACGATGTGTGGGTGTGTATGTTGGTAGGTAGGTATATTGCGTGTGGGTGAGCATATAACCTGTGTGTATTGACGTGTAAGGGGAAAGGGGAGCCAGAAGGGGGGAAGAAGAGTGAGGAGTGGGGGAGGGGAGGGGGTGTTATCGACCTTGAGAAGAGGATTTGTGCAAGCACCAGTTAGCTTCCAGCAGCTGTGTGACGTCACCTGCCACCCTCTTAATACCACTCTCCTTCTACCACCGTGCACCTACCCCTACTATAACGAACATAATGTAACATGGGAAAGCCCGACAAAGTTACAGTAATTAATTTCCATTGTGGTCTTCAACAGAATGCGACCCACAACAGCCGACTAACACTCAGATATTTATTTACAGCTAGGTGAGCAGGGCAAGAAAGTGTCAAGACATGTGGACATTTACCTCGACAGGCCCGGGATCAAGCTCGGGTCATTCCTTTAGAGAACTCGGTTCACTGTCACTGAGCTACAGGTGCATCCAGTGTGTGTAAAGGTAATCTTTGAATTACCACCCACACCATGGGTAAAGGGATGCATGATTACACTACTGAGCTAACTAAACTTGTGTTACAGCTCTTCGGCCCTAGAGGTCAATACTTGTGTCCCGTAGCTCGATCGCTAGCGCACTCAACTCACACACTGAGGTCCGGAGTTCGAATCTCCTCCGGTACGGCTGGAAAACATTAGGGACGTGTTTTCATAAAGACACCTGCTGCCCCTGTTCACCCATCAGTTTAAAATGGGTACTTGGGTGTTAGCTAACTGGTGAGGGTCGCATCCTGGGACAAAATTAACCTAATTTACACAAGGGGCTTTCAATATAGTAGTATGTCATTGATGTCAGCTAGGCCTGTATACCTTGTAAATGTACTTCTAGTAAGTAAAGATATTATTATTATTATTATTATTATTATTATTATACTGGGTTGTGTCATTACAGCTGGAGGGCCCTGAAGGATTGAGGAACATGGCAGTGCTGGTGAGACGGACTACTGTCACTCTGCCAGGGACGCCCAGGGACCCAGACATGGCGGCGGCCAGGGAAGAGCTGGTAGAGCGTCTCCTCAACACCTCCCTCAATATCGTGCTCTACAGGAGTCCAGACCGCTTTGTCGCCGCTATCTCCACCTCCCCCAGGCTGCAGGCGGCCATGAGGGCTTTCAGGGTGAGTCCAGCTCTAAGGTCAGTTTACTACTTTCAAGGTGACTCCATCTCTAAGGTGAGTCCAGTACCCCTAGGCTGAGTCCAGCACCTTTAGGGTGAGTCCAGCACCTTCAGGGTGAATCCAGTAACTTCAGGGTGAGTCCAGTACTTTCAGAGTGAGTCACGCAAGTTCAGCGTGAGTCCAGCGCCTGCATGGTGAGTTTAGCATCTTCGGTGCCTGTCCAGTGACAAGGTCCTCTGTACCTTTTCCACCTCTGGCATGAGCATATTTGTACAATATTCATCGATATAGTCTTAGGCACATATACAATGATAAGAGCAATCATAGTCAGAATTACGCCCGAGTGTTCAAATTGATTTTCTGTGGCTACAAGTGTGTTTGTGACCTTCACAACACTTACTGTGCAACGTTTCACATGATGCTTTTCAAGTATTAGTGTCTTGTTCGTGTTACAGTTTCATTATTGCATTTTCAGTTACAGATTTTGTTGTATTTGCCATATGGAAAATGTATTGATGAGTTTTACTGCATTTTGCAGCGCTGCAGATATGAATGCAGCGCTTTTTCGCCCATTCGGGTTTTGCTTTCTTTCGTGAATGTAATCCTAATAATGAAGGATGTGAGCTCAAGCTTCATTCAACGACTGCGCTGAACAGTGAACATATTTAAGGTTTTAAATATAATATTTTCTTCGTGTTTAACTTTTCCGTTAAGCAGACAGAGCAGAACAAGCTTCCCTCATCATTATAATAACGTGAAATATCAAATAGCCAGAAAAGATCATCCTCCTGACATACTTATCATCGAATTCCAGAGTTCTGCTCTGGAAGCCTGGCCAAAGGCAAGGCTCTGTTGGTCAACCAGGCTATTGCTGCCAGCGTCTCAGAGGCTACTGGTGATTAAGACACATGTGCAACACCTAGGTGTCTTTATTCTCCAGACGTTTTGCCAAACAGTGGCTTTACTGCTACGATAGCCATCACAACATGACTGATATATACCTTCACGTTTATTCCCACGATATTTCTTATATACATATAACATAATTCTGGTTAAGTAGCCTACTACAACTCTAGGAGTGCCTTGATGCTAGTAGGCTCTTGATCTAAATAACTGGATCTTTCCTTCCTTTGATTAAACTTGATTACTCTCCATTCACGCTTCCCATACTCTAGACGCTGTATGATGTTTACGTGTTCAGCACATGGCTCTTCTGTACTGTTGTAGATTCGCCGGTACAGCGCCCGGCCCGGGCCACACAGATTAATTATTAAGAGCGGGATCAGAGTTAAACTTTTGTGGATTCCCTCTCACAGAAACCTTTTTTTGTCTGTTTACGAAAACAGGACTAACATCATCGTCTTTGTACTTGATTCATACCAAGATCCTGTGTTGCTAGTACAAAATGAATGGATCAAGAATCCCAAAAGACTCAAGAGAAAAGTTAGATTGGAAGCGACTAACCTCCATGAATTTTCAGCATCGCTGGGACATACCGCACTCTCAAGGTGGGTATTTATAAGCCTCTTCTACATTTATTACAAGTGTGCAATATGGACATGTTGTCAATGCATGTAACTCTCAAGAACAGTGTGGTTTCTGTGCAGGCCCAAACCAGAGGAAAATTTATAAAAAAACACAGCCTAAAGAGGTGAGCAGGTATAGAAGATATGTGCTAATTGCAGGTAAGAACTCAGTAAGTCGCACTCTGTGAGGTGAGATGTCTGGCAAAACGGCGACGACAGTGACAACAACAACATCAAGGGCGGCAGTAACAACAAGTGCCAACCACCTTTACGGAGCTACCAGGCGAGACTTGCAACTCGGGCAGTCTAAGACAGAGTCTACTCGGGGGTGGGAAAGGTCACATACAGCAGAAAATAACAAGGACAGTAGATTGTAAAGCGTTGGTAGTATGGTTTGTATGGAGAGACGTCAAGGACATAAAATGTAAAGTTTGTAAACAGAGGCAGGGTCATACACTGGAGCATTATGTCTTAGTGTCCGAACTTTCAACCTTTCAGAGACACTTATATGCAAACCTTAGAGGATATGACGAAACACATCATTGTAATGAAACGATACATGAAATCTTCAAGCTGTATCCACATTTTGCATCGACTGGTAAGTTTATTCAGGTACAGATACACATAAATGCAGTTACACAAATTATCATACATAGTAATATATGTGTAAATTTCCTAGGATAACCCAAACTTATTTCCATTAAGGTCACTGAATTGTTTTATTTTTTTATAGAGATTGCAACCTAGTCATTACCAGTGTTTTCTTAGCGGACCACCCTACTATCTTTCGTTTTTAACCTAATCCAATGTAACTTAGCCTAATCAAGAACAGTAAATCTTGACGAAATGATGAAAAACAGTAGGCGGTATCTCGTGGGTCAGCGGTGCTGGTGGTGAAGCAGTGACCATTGTTTCAGCTACTCACGACCACTGTGGTGTTTCGGCTACTCACGACCACTGTGGTGTTTCAGCTACTCACGACCACTGTGGTGTTTCAGCTACTCACGAGCACTGTGGTGTTTCAGCTACTCACGGCCACTGGTGTTTCAGCTACTCACGACCATTGTGGTGTTTCAGCTACTCACGACCACTGTGGTGTTTCAGCTACTCACAACCATTGTGGTGTTTCAGCTACTCACGACCACTGTGGTGTTTCAGCTACTCACGACCACTGTGGTGTTTCAGCTACTCACGGCCACTGTGGTGTTTCAGCTACTCACGGCCACTGTGGTGTTTCAGCTACTCACGACCACTGTGGTGTTTCAGCTACTCACGACCACTGTGGTGTTTCAGCTACTCACGACCACTGTGGTGTTTCAGCTACTCACGACCACTGTGGTGTTCTTTGCATCGTTATCGTTATTATTATAACATTAGTATGGCTGATGTGGATAATAGCCATTTCCACAACAGATAATCAGGTTTTGTTCGTAACCGCATCAATTTCGGACGATTTCTGCCAAGAGATAGTGTCTCCTTGAGCTAATCTGTATTTTTATAGAGTACTCGTCTCTTTTGTCATGTCAAAACTTTGCTTATAGGTTTGCAGATGTATTTTCAGATTTATATGTGCAACATCAGTGAAATATAACACAGTCAATTTACAGTGTTGCAAGTGAATGTTGCCATTGTGTTGCAGAATAAATAAATTTAATGTTGCTATTGTATATATTGTGCAATAACATATGCAGTGTTGAAGATGCGTTAGTTTAATAGTTTAATTATTCCCCTATACTCATGCTATAAACGGTTTTCAAAAGGCATTCAGAAGTACTTTTTTGTACATATTTACCATAATTCGTTCGGGAACTGGACCTAAAGTTTCTTTAATAATCTTAGTAATCAGTTACGATAATAATAATAATAATAATAATAATAATAATAATAATAATAATAATAATAATAATAATAATAATAATAATAATAATAATGGAGGAATATAGCAAATAATATGGTTGCAGTAATAACACCAGGAGGCAGCTCTGATGAAAACTCACACTCACGCGAGCTTTTAAATCTCTGCACAAAATTCAATTTAAACCAGCAAATAATAGAGCCTACTAGACTGGAGAATACACTAGACCTCATCTTCACTAACAATGATGATCTGATAAGAAATATCACCATATCAAAAACAATATACTCAGATCACAACATAATTGAGGTTCAGTCATGTATGCGCGGAGCCCCAGACCGACATAATGAGATTAGTCACGAGGGAGCATTCACCAAATTCAACTTCAATAACAAAAACATAAAGTGGGACCAAGTAAACCAAGTCCTAACCGATATAAGCTGGGAAGATATACTAAGCAACACAGACCCCAACTTATGCCTAGAACAGATTAACTCGGTGGCACTCGATGTATGCACAAGGCTTATTCCTCTAAGAAAAAGGAGGAGTAGATGTAAAACAGAAAGAGACAGGCGCTCCCTTTACAGGCGACGGAAAAGAATAACAGAGCGGCTAAAAGAGGTCAATATATCTGAAATGCGTAGGGAGACACTGGTCAGAGAAATAGCAAGCATCGAACTTAAGCTAAAAGAATCCTTTAGGAGTCAGGAATCGCGGGAAGAACTAAAAGCCATAAATGAAATCGAAAGAAACCCAAAGTAATTCTTCTCCTATGCCAAATCAAAATCGAGAACAACGTCCAGTATTGGGCCCCTACTTAAACAAGATGGGTCCTACACAGATGACAGCAAGGAAATGAGGGGAGCTACTCAAGTCCCAATATGACTCAGTTTTTAGCAAGCCGCTAACCAGACTGAGAGTCGAAGATCAAAATGAATTTTTTATGAGAGAGCCACAAAATTTGATTAACACAAGCCTATCCGATGTTATCCTGACGCCAAATGACTTCGAACAGGCGATAAATGACATGCCCATGCACTCTGCCCCAGGGCCAGACTAAATGGAACTCTGTGTTCATCAAGAACTGCAAGAAGCCCCTATCACGAGCCTTTTCCATCCTATGGAGAGGGAGCATGGACACGGGGGTCGTCCCACAGTTACTAAAAACAACAGACATAGCCCCACTCCACAAAGGGGCAGTAAACCAACAGCAAAGAACTACAGACCAATAGCACTAACATCCCATATCATAAAAATCTTTGAAAGGGTCCTAAGAAGCAAGATCACCACCCATCTAGAAACCCATCAGTTACAACAACCCAGGGCAACATGGGTTTTAGAACAGGTCGCTCCTGTCTGTCTCGACTATTGGACCACTACGACAAGGTCCTAAATGCACCCAGAAGACAAAAAGAATGCAGATGTAATATATACAGACTTTGCAAAAGCCTTCGACAAGTGTGACCATGGCGTAATAGCGCACAAAATGCGTGCTAAAGGAATAACAGGAAAAGTCGGTCGATGGATCTATAATTTCCTCACTAACAGAACACAGAGAGTAGTCGTCAACAGAGTAAAGTCCGAGGCAGCTACGGTGAAAAGCTCTGTTCCACAAGGCACAGTACTCGCTCCCATCTTGTTCCTCATCCTTATATCCGACATAGACAAGGATGTCAGCCACAGCACCGTGTCTTCCTTTGCAGATGACACCCGAATCTGCATGACAGTGTCTTCCATTGCAGACACTGCAAAGCTCCAGGCAGACATCAAACAAATCTTTCAGTGGGCTGCAGAAAACAATATGAAGTTCAACGATGAGAAATTTCAATTACTCAGATATGGTAAACATGAGGAAATTAAATCTTCATCAGAGTACAAAACAAATTCTGGCCACAAAATAGAGCGAAACACCAACGTCAAAGACCTGGGAGTGATCATGTCGGAGGATCTCACCTTCAAGGACCATAACATTGTATCAATCGCATCTGCTAGAAAAATGACAGGATGGATAATGAGAACCTTCAAAACTAGGGAGGCCAAGCCCATGATGACACTCTTCAGGTCACTTGTTCTATCTAGGCTGGAATATTGCTGCACACTAACAGCACCTTTCAAGGCAGGTGAAATTGCCGACCTAGAAAATGTACAGAGAACTTTCACGGGCGCATAACGGAGATAAAACACCTCAATTATTGGGAGCGCTTGAGGTTCCTAAACCTGTATTCCCTGGAACGCAGGAGGGAGAGATACATGATTATATACACCTGGAAAATCCTAGAGGGACTAGTACCGAACTTGCACACGAAAATCACTCACTACGAAAGCAAAAGACTTGGCAGACGATGCACCATCCCCCCAATGAAAAGCAGGGGTGTCACTAGCACGTTAAGAGACCATACAATAAGTGTCAGGGGCCCGAGACTGTTCAACTGCCTCCCAGCACACATAAGGGGGATTACCAACAGACCCCTGGCAGTCTTCAAGCTGGCACTGGACAAGCACCTAAAGTCAGTTCCGGATCAGCCGGGCTGTGGCTCGTACGTTGGTTTGCGTGCAGCCAGCAGCAACAGCCTGGTTGATCAGGCTCTGATCCACCAGGAGGCCTGGTCACAGACCGGGCCGCGGGGGCGTTGACCCCCGGAACTCTCTCCAGGTAAACTCCAGGTAATAATAGTAATAATAATAATAATAATAATAATAATAATAATAATAATAATAATATAATATAATAATAATAATAATAATAATAATAATAATAATAATAATAATAATAATAATAGTAATAATAATAATAATCATAATATCTTTATTTCTACAAGTACATGTACAAGGTATACGGACCATAGCTGACATCAGTGACATACTGCTATATAGAAAGCCGCTTGTTATGTTGAGCATTTCGGGGAAATTAGGTCAATTTTGTCTCAGGATGCGACCCACACCAGTCGACTAACACCCAGGTACACATTTTATACTGATGGGTGAACATGGACAGGAGGTGTCTTATGGAAACACGTCCTAATGTTTTCCAGCCGTACCGGAGATTCTAACTTCGGACCTCAGTGTGTGAGGTGAGTGCGCTAGTGATCCAGCTACGGGACACCAGTAATGAACTGGTATTTAAAAATAATGGATTCGGTTATAGTAGTATTAAGTAAGCGCACAAGCTAAGCAAATTTATTTTTTCCAGTGCTTTTGAAGGCACACGTATATAGTTTAGTACGTACAATAAATTTAACATGATAACCCATACAGTCTGTAATTTATTTCATTCAGCGCTGAATGACCCTAACACGTTTATATTATTTAGTTAATACAGTACACTATTAATAATAATAACAATAATAATACAGTAATAATAACAGCATTCTCCATAGCTATCAATCGGGCTTTAGAAGATCCTACTCAACCGATACCTCCCTTATTAATCTGATGGATTACCTGAGAACTGAAATGTCAAAAGGGAACCTCATAGGTATGGTAACCTTAGACCTGCAAAAGGCCTTCGATACTGTCAACCATAATATATTATGTAAGAAACTTCAAGCTATCGGTATAGGTTCTGTAGACTGGTTTAAGTCCTACCTTAGCAACAGGAGACAAATAGTCAAAATCAACAAAACGGAATCAGAACCCCTGCCGATAACATGTGGAGTTCCCCAAGGTAGTATTCTGGGTCCCTTACTATTCTTATGTTATGTCAATGATATGCCTATCAGTGTCAAGTGCAAACTCCTACTGTATGCAGATGACAGTGCTCTGTTAGTGACAGGTAAAGACCCACAAGATATTGCTAATGTTTTAACACTGGAACTGGAGTCCTGCAGCAAATGGTTAGTAGACAACAAACTATCATTACACCTCGGGAAAACTGAAGCCATTCTCTTTGGAACGAAACATAAACTGAGAAGGGTAAATAATTTTAATGTTCAGTGTAATGGGGAGTCCATCACTTTGGTTTCATCAGTTAAATATTTGGGAATCCCCTTTGACCCATGCATGTCAGGAGAACTGATAGGGAACAGTGTAGTAAAGAAAGCAAATGCCAGAGTGAAGTTCCTGTATAGACAAGCACAGTGTCTACCTACTGAGGCTCGCAGGACCCTATGTCTAGCCCTTATACAATGCCATATGGATTACGCTTGCTCTTCTTGGTACTCTGCCTTGACAAAAAAACTGAAAGATAGACTGCAAATCACCCAGAACAAAATCGTAAGATTCATCCTGGGGCTGGGACCAAGAGAACATGTAGGCCAGGATGAATTACAGCAGTTGGATATGCTGAATGTTGAAGACAGAGTAAAACAACTGAAGCTAAATCATGTTTATAAAATTGCTCACAAACAGTGTCCAGAATATCTTGCTGTCAATTTTGTCAAGGTTGGGAACCAAAGCAATCATAGTACTAGGGGGAGAGAGCACAACTTTGTAGTACCCACAGTCAGTGGCCAGGCTTCAAACACCTTTTATTGTACAGCAATAAAGGAATGGAACAGACTACCCACAAATGTCAAGGCCAGTCATAGCTTGAACCAGTTCAAGAAGACTGCCAAAAAGTGTCTGATGAATGAAGCAACAGAAAGGGAGGGGAATGATTTTCTATTTTTTAGCTAAAATACGTGTAAATTTTACCTTATCCCTAGTAATGACCCTCGTATTGTAGATAGTCTTAATGACCCTCGTGTAGTAGATAGTCTTTTTAGTATGATAATAAGATGTTATCTTCATTATAGAATAATAAGAAAATATTATAACCTTTATATTATAATAATAAGGTAAAAGGACCCCAATGGAAATAAGTCACTCTGTCTGACTTTTTTGGGTTATCCTAGGTTCTCTACACATATGCTGCTATGTATGATAATTCTATGTAACTGTATTGTGTATACCTGAATAAATTTACTTACTTACTTACCCCAACAGCAAGCAGGTGGATGGGATCTTCCCTCAGACAGAGAGTTGAATGTGCTGGGTCGTTCTCTGATGACAGAGTGGCAGCAGAAGTTACATGATGTCACTGCTCGTTATTACACCTTAGTCACCCGTCATGCACACGGCTTCCAGGTCAGTCTCACCACCCAATTTTTTTTTTTATAGTTTAAAACCTATAGGCTGTACTAGGACCATTAATACAGCATTTATTACCTGTAAATACTAGTCAAGACTATTTTTAAGTCATAGCTGTATAGCCCTTGTGGCTTAGCGCTTCTTTTTGATTATAATAATAATTTTAAGTCATAAAATAGTGTATATGCAATGTGAGACGGTAGAGATGTCAGAATAAATAGTACAATTTCTCCTATTGTTTGTCTTAATCATATGATGATCCACTCCATGGTTCTGCTGGCTTGCCACTTCCCTATGAGGAAATAAATATTGTATCATTATGTCAAATTAAAGCCGAAACAAATAATGTGGGTCTAAATAATGTAATCATGCATTTTTTTTAATTCGCTAAAACAAATTTCAGTACCAGAAGTATAAAGTTATTATATTTTACTTGTCCAGTTAATGGCACCATTTATCGCTTGTCATTCTTTAATCCTGCACCTAATATTTAAGTTGGGAAAAACAAGACAAAATGTGCAGGAAAACATTTAATGTGCAGTGTCTCATATGTGAAGAGGCTTTATAAAGTGCATAGAGAACATCACAAAACACATGTAGCACAGAAAGTAAAGTCAGGTTAACTTAACCTAGCAACACACTGCAGTAAGCCCACAGGCCCATGTTAGATACAAGAAAGGGGGACAGGGAAAGGGGAAAACAAAAGCAAGAATACAGAGGCACTGCAGCAGGCCCACTATCCAATGTGTAGGATGTTTGTGTATTGTTTCAGTCACGGTATTGTGCCTTTTTGTTCTTAAGACCTTATTAGGTTTCCTATGGTAATTTAGGAAGATGTGAGTGATGGGTCTAGCCAAAGTATATATCCCATCTGTTTTGTTTAACAGTGCTGGTGAGTTCAGTAGTTGAGGCTTCAAGACAATTGCAGATATGAGATGGGACAGAGAGTTACAGTACAGGGAATGAGAGTTATGGTGCTGGGAATGAGGGTTATGGTGTTGGGAATACAATGCAGGGAATGAGAGTTACAGTGCAGGAAATGAGAGTTATAGTTCACAATGAAGGCATTATTAGTGCTCCCAGTACTGAATGGATATTTATACTGCTGAAGGTGTGCAGGTAAAACTTGTGGTTTTCCTGATGTAAATCTTGTCACACCTGCAACATGTTATACTGTTAGACTCCTGCATTCTTTGGTGATGTATTAGGTATAACAGTTGGTAATTTCTTTGACTGCCTTGGTAGTGACCAATGTTATGCCCCTGTTGGATTTTTGGAAAACAGGGTATAATGTGTTCATCTTTAAAAAATAAAAAATTGTACCTTTGCTAAGGTTACAATGTGTGGTTTACATATAATTTGATTGGAGCAACGAAAGCCACTTATCATGCCGAGGCATTTCGGACCTGGTTGGTGTGTGTTATTTCTGTTACAAGTTGCAGGACTGATTTTACCCTTGGTCCAGTCTCAGATCAAGCCTTCAAAATTGGCAAAGAAATGTTACACTGATGAGAACTTCCCTGTATGAAGAAACAGTCAACAGTTAAGATCAAGAAGCATTATAGTACAAATTTAAGTTGAGATCTAGGAGCATTAAAAGATGATTCTAGTTTATGTTCTAGGTAACAAAGAGTGTCAAGGTTCACATATTACAGGTAGGTCTTAAGGAGCGGGAGGAAGTATGGAGCAGCGAGGAGCCACCTGCAGTGTTACCTTGGACCCTTTGGCCCTCCCTCTTTCATGTATTTTGTCTGGTCACCACCATCGGCAGCAGCGTGCAAACTCAGACCTCTGGAGGGAGAGCTACTGCTCTTATATACACCCTGGTGGGGGTAATGCTGTACCTTGGCGTTGTGGTGGTGTGGGCAGCCAGGCTCGGGGCCACCTACTCCCTCCTCATCAAAATGTGCACCAAGAGCAAGGTATCTCAACTCTTTAGTTTTTATTTACTATGTGTAGTAGTTCTTTAGTTCAATACATGTATTTTGTGAGACGTGCCTATTATATTCATGGGGAAGCACTAAATTTGGAGGGGACATACAGTGCCTAGGGAATGGGCGATAAATAGATTTGATTCAGAGGAGAGAGTAGCTCCACATCCTTGGATAAACCTCTTCTTCATGGGCATTATGTGAAATGGTACGAGCTGTAAGAAACTTGTGGATTTCACACAGTTGCACAATTATTGTATTCAAGCTCAGACTTTAACACAGATAATCTCTACATAAATAAAGCACAGTTGTTTTTTTAAATTTTCGAAGCTGTGCTTGCTGTCATCTTATCACATAATTTAAGAATTTGAATAAGTGGAAAATGTTCTGCACTGGACATTTCAATACTGTATACAGAAATAAAGATCACTTGATGTTGTGTGGTCAGGTTGACTCAGCAGGAGGGCCACTGCGAGCATCACCATACCACAGTATGGACAAGCCATCCTCAATGCCCAGCCCTCCTCAACCCACTCTGGCCAGGCTCACGCTTCTTGCTACAATCATTGTAGTGTAAGTACAAGAAAAAGGGAGATAGAAAAAATCTTAGTACACAATGTCCAACCTAAAAGCCTACGTAGTGTAGTGTATGTTTTGCTCCATTATTGTTCAAATTTCATAGTACAATCTCTTAGTAATTAAATAATCAACTACCTCATTTTGTGATTTTACTAGTAAGCATAAGTCACCTTATGTAATTTTCTTATTTAGTATTGTTTGCTTAAATATTAGCTGAATTGATACTTTCTCTGTCCATATTACTACCTCATATTTTTTTGAATACTATTAATTGATATTACTTACTAAAATTAATAATTAATTACCATTTTTACTATCAGTACAATTTACTCTTAACATTTTTTACATTTAATTACCATTACTTGTCTAATTACCATAACCTGTTTTAATACCACATTTACTATCTTAGAGTACTCTTAAATACCTTGTACTGTACTGCCAAATAACCTCTAGTATAACTACCAGTGCAATATTGAATCCAAATAACTGTTCTTAAAATTTAATACTTGAAATAAACATTACTTTTTCACTTTTTTTTGCTAATTAATCTTTTTTTGTAATCATTATTACTTACTAAAATTTTATTAAACACCATATTTACTACCAGTCAGTTTTACTTTTGTACATTAATCATTATTTTATACTTTTCATAACATTTTGTTGCCAAATTTTCAAGTTTGTATATTCAACTCCAACCTTTATATTATCCTTTGTACCTGTGTACCTGTGTACCTGTCTACCATCTTACTATCATATTATAACCAAGTCATTGCCATTGTTATTTTTTACTTATTATTCTTTTGGTACTTTAATTTGTGAATTTTATTTTGTCAATTTAAATCTAGTTATACTCTTGATCTTGTTAACAACCTATATCAGACCCTAGTGCAATTGCAAGTACCATTTTAATTTGTATTTTTATATTATAAGTTTATACCTAGTTGTACTTTAGCTCATTCTAGCTCAATACATAGACAACAATAAATTCATTATATTAGACCTTAATGCAATTACAAGATTGAGTCTGGTGCCACTTGTAATTTTTTTTTTTTTTAGTATTAGTTTATACCTAGTTGTACTTTAGCTCATTCTAGCACAACACATAGACAATATCAATTTCATTATGTTTATTAGTGACTATATATGACCAAAGTGCTTTAGCGGTATACTTATCCAAACCTCCCACGACTACAGAAATCAGTATTAGAACTCGCCACACAATACAGGATATAAACAACCACTATTTAAACCTAAAAGATGAATGATCACGTTGACCCTGATCTAAACCTCCATAATCTAACACTCAATCAAAACTTATTGGAAAGTAGCTGCCTTTATTACACAGCATCACAAGCCAGCACTATCCTGAACACTGCTCAAAGTCTATCAGTTCTTAACTACAACATCAGGTCCTTAAGCAAACACTATGATGACCTCCTGGCACTCCTTGAGTCACTAAAGACACCCTTCTCCTGCATTATTCTTACTGAGACCTGGCTTAAACAGGACACAGTTGATATCTACCCACTACCAGGATACACAGCAATCCACAACTGCAGACCATACCAAGCTGGGGGTGGTACTGCAATCTATTACTGTAACCAACTATCTTGTATTAGCACTAATTGCTTTAGTGATGAATATGGGGAATACATTTTTGCTAATTTTACTGTAAAAAACCTGAAGACGTCTATAACAATCAGTGCCATATACTGGATACCCCACACAAACATCCCAAACTTCAGTGAGAATCTAAAGTCACTAATAACAAACAGACAAATGAACAAGCACCACCTTCTCTTAGCTGGAGACTTCAATATCAACCTTGGCCTAGCAGATGATCAGACTGTAACTGATTTCATCAACAATATAAACAATGCACTTCTCATACCAACAATAACTAAACCAACCAGGCTGGCTGAGACAAGTGCAACCATAATAGACCACATATGGACCAATATACTTGCCCCCCTTAAATCAGGGATAATCAGACAGCACTACTGACCACTGACCACAAGGCACAGTACTCGCCCCCATCTTATTCCTTATCCTCATATCAGACATAAACAGAGATATACACCACAGCACCGTATCATCCTTTGCGGATGATACTAGGATCTGCATGAGGCTGTCATCTGCTGAGGACGCGGTTAACCTCCAAGAAGATATAAACAAAGTTTTCCAGTGGGCAACGGTAAACAATATGATGTTCAATGAGGACAAATTCCAACTACTCCGTTATGGAAAACTGGAGGAGATAATAACTAGAACAGAGTATACTACTGACTCCGGCCATACAATAGAGCGCAAAACAATGTAAGGGACCTGGGAGTAGTAATGTCTGAGGATCTCGCTTTCAAGGATCACAACAGTGCCACGATCGCACGTGCAAAGAAAATGATAGGATGGATAATGAGAACTTTCAAAACGAGAGATGCCAAGCCCATGATGATCCTTTTCAAATCACTTGTTCTCTCTAGGCTGGAATACTGCTGTACATTAACATCTCCATACAAAGCAGGTGAAATCGCAGATCTAGAGAGTGTACAGAGATCCTTTACTGCACGTATAAGTTCTGTCAAGCACCTTAACTACTGGGAACGCTTGGAAGCACTTGACTTGTACTCGTTGGAACGCAGGAGGGAGAGATATATCATAATCTACACTTGGAAAATCTTGGAAGGAATGGTCCCAAATCTGCACTCAGAAATCACTCCCTACGAAAGTAAAAGACTGGGCAGGCGATGCAAAATGCCGCCAATAAAAAGTAGGGGCGCCATTGGTACACTAAGAGAAAACACCATAAGTGTCCGGGGCCCAAAACTGTTCAACAGCCTCCCATCAAGCATTAGGGGAATTGCCAATAAACCCCTGGCTGCCTTCAAGAGAGAGCTGGACAGATACCTAAAGTCAGTGCCGGATCAGCCGGGCTGTGGCTCGTACGTCGGACTGCGTGCAGCCAGCAGTAACAGCCTAGTTGATCAGGCCCTGATCCATCGGGAGGCCTGGTCATGGACCGGGCCGCGGGGGCGTTGATCCCCGGAATAACCTCCAGGTAACCTCTAGGTAACTACCCAACCTTCCTCTTAACAAACATTAGTAAGCCACCACTCGAATACAACAAAGTTTCATTAGACTCCATGACGAGGCCTCAATAAGGAATTTCACAGCAGACCTAGACTGTTGACTGGCCTACAGAATTTTCCAATGCCAGTGGTATTGACGATTGGACAGACATTTTTCTTAACAAAATGCTTAGACTATACAACAAACATTGTCCTATAAAAACGAAACAGATCACGAATAAATGGCTTGGTTGCCCATGGCTAACCAGCAGCATTCTGAAATCCATTGATAAGAAACACCAATATGAAAAGCAATATAGACAGGGCTTAATACACAAAGATATTTTTAAACAATATTCAATAGTTCTCACCAAATTAATAAAGAAAGCCAAACAACTGTACTACTCCAGCAGATTCACTGACACAAGAGGAGATATAAAAAAGACCTGGAAAACACTTTCCCAGATTCTGGGGACCCACAAACTGAAAAAACCAAGAATATTGTTCTTACTAAACCTCATGAAACACCACTGCATCCCACTGATACAGCTAACAAGATAAACGACTTCTTCTCAAACATAGGATCTAATCTTGCCAGTAAAATCCCACGTACCAATGCCCATGCCGGGGACTACCTAGATGGGAATTTCCCAAATTCCTTCTATCTTGTACCAACTGAGCCCACGGAAGTCACCGCGATCATAAAGTCACTTAAAAATAACTCGGGGAATCTGTCTCACGTCCCACCATTATTGTACAAGCGAGCGGCCCATGTCCTTTCGCATGCTATTACATTACTTTTTAACAAGTCACTAGAAACTAGCACTTTCCCGACTACTCAAGACAGCAAGGGTTACACCAATACATAAAGTTGGTGACCCTACAGACGTAAACAACTATAGGCCAATATCAAACTTACCATTGCTATCCAAAATCTTCGAGAAACTCGTGCACAGGAGACTTTATTCATTTATGAAGTCACAAAACATACTCAACCCCTGCCAATTTGGATTTAGGAAAAATAAAAGCACTAATGATGCAATTATAAAAATGGTAGACCTGCTTTACAAAGCACTGGAAAATAAAGAATATCCGCTAGGAATTTTTATTGACCTAAGAAAAGCGTTTGACACATTAGACCACGGCATCCTACTCCACAAACTTGATCACTATGGTATAAGAGGCCACGCATTTGCATATTTTAAATCCTACCTTTCTAATGGGTATCAGTATGTCACCATTAAAGACACAGCCTCATCAATACGGCCATTTGATACTGGAGTTCCGCAGGGAAGTGTCCTTGGACCCCTGCTCTTCCTCATTTACATCAGTGATCTTCCAAACATATCTCAACACCTGAAACCCAGTCTCTTTGCTGACGACACGACTTATGTCATCTCCCACCCTAATCTTGCCACCCTCAACACCATTGTTAACGAGGAGCTGCTCAAAATATCGACTTGGATGACAGCCAATAAACTTACACTTAACACTGGAAAACCTACTATATTATGTTTGGTAGCAGAGCAGGTGTTGTGCAACTTAACATTAAGATCGACAACACTCTAATTGCCAGACATAATGAGGGCAAATTCCTTGGCCTATACCTCGACAACAACCTAAAATTCAGCACCCATATCCAACACATAACAAAAAGAGTATCCAAAATGGTGGGGATCCTCTCCAAGATACGATACTACATACTGCAAATTGCCCTTCTCACACTATACCATTCACTTATATATCCATACCTCACCTATGCTATCTGTGCTTGGGGTTCAACTGCAGCAACACACCTGAAGCCAATAATAACCCAACAAAAAGCCGCAGTAAGAATAATAACTAAATCCCATCCCTGGCAACACCCCCCCCCCACTCTTCTTAGATCTAAACTTACTCCCTGTTCAGAACATCCACACTTACTACTGTGCAATCTATATCTACAGGACCTTAAATTCCAATATTAACCTTGACCTAAAATGCTTTCTTGGTAGTTGTGACAGGATCCACAGGCATAACACCAGACACAAACATCTCGATGACATTCCCCGTGTTCAACTAAACCTTTACAAAAATTCAATGTATTTCAAAGGACCCAAAATCTGGAACACCCTACCTGAAAACTCTAGAACTGCAGACACATTCATTACTTTCAAAACTACAGTTAGAAAACATCTTATCTCCCTGATCCATCCCGACAACTAACTACATGATAACCACCTGGTGGTTCAAAATTACACTCACGCACCCACTGACTATAAACCCAGAAATACTAATCTTAATCTTAAAATAATAAATCCTAACTAGTCATAAGTTTGCGTGCTTATGATATTCAAATATAGACACCTTGTATTGTGCCAAAACAAAAGCATTCACATTGCTAAACTCACAAATTATGATGTAGTCACTTAGCCTTAATACTATAATCTGTAAGGATTTAATGTTAAGAATTAATCTAAGTCTGTTCGAAATGCCTAGCCATGCTAGGTGTCCTAGTGGCCCCCTCTGTAATTAGTATTTTATAACGTGTAAACCACAAAATACCCAAAGCCTGTAAACCCCACATTGTAACCATTATAGAGAATAAACTTGAATTGAATTGAATTGAAAACATCAAGACCATTTCCTGAGGATTTACTAGAGTTTGGCTACCTTTACTATCTAGATACTTGACGCAATGAGAGTATAGTAGAAGGCTCTCTTCCCACTCCTCCAATCTTTTGCCGGTTTTCCATTTAAGAATGTTGCAGCCAAGTTTAAGGGTGCACTGAAACATCATTATTAAGGTAGTGTTGATTTTTTTTTAGGTATAGGCCACTGCCATTAATGTTTTGTTAGATCATGTTAGGAAATATTTTTGCAAGAAAATTTTCAAAATTAGATTTTGACAATGTTTTCATAGGTATTTATTGCCATTAAACTTTCCCTGCTGAATTCTGCTGCAGTGCAGAAAGATGTGTTCAAGTTTTAGCTTATAGTTCACAGGAGGTCAAGATCGTAAAAATGACAGCGAGACAAAACCTGGCAGACAGTGAATCAGAGTGATGATGATTACTTAATATTATTATTATTATTACAACTATTATTGTTGGTGTTATTCTCATTATACAAGATTTACAGAAAATGATGAACCTGTATGGATTAGACAGTGAGTATGTTGCCTACTGAATAGCTACTGCTCCAGGGGTAATAATAATAGTAATAATAAATAATTTGAAATTTTGTTATTCTTTAGAACCTGTTCTTTCAAGTAATTCACCAGCACTTGCAATAATCCATAAATGCAATAACAAAGAAAAAATACTGAAGTTTATGTTTAAGAGTGACAGTATCATTATCAGGACATAAGCTTTTGAAAAGAGACGTACTTTCACATGAGACTTGAAAGCGTGAACAAATTCCTGACTTAACAAACATTGGCAACCTGTTGAACAATCTAGGAGTTAGATAAGAAAATGCTCTTTCTGTAAATGATTTCTCCTTAACCCTTAAACTGTCCAAACATAGATCTACTTTTTTTCAACATTTGAAAGTATGTAAAAAAAAGTAGATCTTTTCTTTTTTTACATTTGAAAACGTGTAAAAAAAAACTTTGATCTTCGTTTTTTTTTCTTTTGTTATATTTGAAAATGTAAAAAAAAAGTAGATCTACTTTTGGAGCACTACGCATGTGAATATAGATCTGCTTGGACAGTTTAAAGGTTAATAGCATGAGGCTCCAACAATCTGAAAGGATCTGTGGCAATTCTCAGAAACATTTCTGAGCCTCGTGGAAAAGGTGTAAGCATGTCAGCAAGGTACTTTGGTTCATTAAACTTAATAACTTTTATTAAATGTCAGTGAACAGTTTAAATTTAGTTTTTGCCTTGATAGGGAACCAATGCAGCTCAAACAAATAGGGACAAGTGGAAACCCCAGTTGGGAGCGAAAATACCAGTCTAGCCCCACAATTCTGTGCAGACTGCAGTCTTTTTTAGCAAGTAGTTAGATAAGCCTACAAACAGTAGCAAAAATCAATCTGAGAGGAAACAAGCATGTGGGTAACAACCAAGACACTGCTTATCAAGATATTTTTTGATTGCTTTGAGGTAATGAATATGAAAATTACGGGATTTAACTAATTTGGTTGATGCGTCTAACAAATGAAAATGAAGAATATAGGTAGAAACCTCGATCTCTCACTGATCCCATAGGCTACAAACTGACAGTACTGTACTACAGTCAAAGGTACCAAAATCTCCAAGTTGAAGATGAGCAGAAATAAGGCGCAAATTGGTCTCTGTATACAACAAATGCATGGAAGCAGAGCTTAAATCTACACAGGCCACAACTGTGCCTTGCTGAAGGGAATTATTACAGTTATGGAGAAGTGCTACACCAAGAGAGGTCATGCAACATTTGGTTAATGAGAGATTATCAGTTTTGATCCAAGGAGGGGGAAGGTAGCTTCATCTACTTAGATCACGACAAATTCACCAACAAGAGAAGTTTCAGCTGGTATGGGCCAAGGCAGCATTAATGACTGTAATTCCTTGTAGTGGGAAGAAGTCTTCTTTGAATAAATGCCTTGTAGCTCAGTAATAGAGCATTGGGTTCATAACTGAAAGGGCTCATTTTTGAATCCAGGGCAGGGTGAGACATAAGAGGAAGTCTCTTAACACTTGCTGCCCATGTTCACCTAGCAACAGATATCTTGTAGTTTTAGCTGTTATTGGACACTTCCTAGGGAAGTATTCAAGTCCCAAAACAGAATAAACCATACTGCATGGTTCATTGTCTCATCAGTGGCTAGATTATTGAGCACCGGTAGCTCATCCTCTTGAGTGATGGCACATAACAAAAAATATGATTAGAGGTCAGAGTAGGCTTTATCAGACCTCCATTGGGTTATCCAGGGTTATTAAACCTCTGAAATTAATAAAAAAAAAGTCTTGAAGCTAGTTCATGCTGTAACTTTGTGAAATGTTATATACTAGATTAGGGTAGTAGAGCTAGAAACTTTTAATTATTAATTGTCATACTTTTTTGTATATATTGTACTTTCTTTGCATTTACTGCACTTAGTGATATTTTGCAGTATTAGTTTGGTTATATAAGATGCTGGCATTAATTTTCTTAGTACAGTATCTAACTTGGTTACTCATTTTCATTGTACTGCCAGTAAATAAGATTCTTGTGATTTGGTACTTTATATTATAGTTGTTACTTAAGTGTTGAAGTGTACTATCATTAAGAATATTACAATATGAATGTGTGTGGCAGGTATGTGGCAAGTGCTGGGGTTCAGGTGATGGGAGGGCGAGACTATTGGACTGGAGTAGAGAATGCTATCTTTGTCTTACTCACACTCAGACCACCCACACCTCTACCTCAGGTCAGTATATGTAATTAACTTAAAAATAACATTTATTGTATAGGTTGACCATCACTAATCTGGCAGTCAGTAAACCGGTTCCATCAGTAATCCGGCACTAATTTTGGCTAGAATAATTTCAAATTTTCAGGGTCAGCACACCAACCTTCTGCTATTGTTTGGTGGCGCTACTTGCTGCACGAGTCATTTCAATTTCTTTTTCTCTGTTTATTGTAACCTGCTCACTTTTAGCCCTAGCCATGGTCCCAACAAATAAAAGAAATGCTTCTCATTGTGTAAAGCACATACACTGTAAATTGTCCATAAAAGATAAGGTGGCTTTGAAGCCACTGTTGGTCGCTGTGAGCTCAGCTTGTTCACATAAGCTGTAACTGGTAAATTTGGGCCTACACACTTACCACACAGCATAGGTCTGTGTAGTAAGTGTGCACTATATTAAAAAAAATCCTGCTGCATGCAGTACGAAAAAAAAAAAAAAAAGACAGTACCATCATTTCTTACCTTAAAATGTGTGTAGTCGTAATGTAGGGCGAGAGGTGAGTAGTACAGTATTTATTTATAGGAAGTCGGGTGTAGGTAACCAGTAGGTGTAACTATGTAGCCCGCCTGGGCTGCATAGCCATATGATATTTAACCCTTAAACGGTCCAAACGTATATATACGTTCACTCGTGCAGCGCCCCGAATAATTTGGAAAAAAAAAAAAATTTATAGAAAAAAGAGCACTTTTTTTTTTTAAGTATTTTAGAATAAAAAAAAATTTAGGGTCAGTACTTACCCAGATATGAGGCCGAGAAGTTGGCACTGGATGCTCATATGACAGCAACATCAAGTCCTGCTGCTTGCAGACGTGTTGCCGTTACATCTTTTTTTCTATTTTTCATATTTTATGTAATTTTTATGTTCTGATAATTACAATTTGTAGTAGTTCTTGCCATTTTATAACCAATCTTTGTTCTGACACTAGTATTAGGTACTGAAATTGTACTCAAATTGACACAAACACACTGACAGGTGGATATTTACACCTGCCTTAGCCATTTACTATTGTTTTGGAATATATACAAAGTATTTATATGTCCCAGCAATGTTTTGGATATGTGGAAGTATATAATAACAATGAGGAGGAAGAGAAGGAAAAGAATAATATGTAATAATAATAATAGGTAATAATAAGTTCCCTTGAAGCATGAAAAACAAAGTCCACCCCTGACAGTGACATGATGAGATAACTGATAAGAGCTGACATTTGATGAGCATGCACAAGGGTGGGGGAGGGTGCAGCTGATAAGAAAAGATTAGAGGTGATATTTGATGAGCATCGCCCTCACTTTGTTTTAGCTGGTACACAAACATGTCTGTCTGTCTATTTGTCTGTCAAGCTCCCTGTCTATCTGTCTATCCATCTAGCTCTCTGCCTCAGGGAGAGCCACAAGACTGCGTCTTCATCACGTTTACTCACATCTTCAAGCAAAGTACAGTGGACCCCCGCATAACGATCACCTCCGAATGCGACCAATTATGTAAGTGTATTTATGTAAGTGCGTTTGTACGTGTATGTTTGGGGGTCTGAAATGGACTAATCTACTTCACAATATTCCTTATGGGAACAAATTCGGTCAGTACTGGCACCTGAACATACTTCTGGAGTGAAAAAATATCGTTAACCGGGGGTCCACTGTATAGCACTTTGTCTGGATTTTTTGGGTTATCCTAGGTAATTTACACTATGTATACTTGTATTTATGTGTATCTGTGAGACAGATAGACAAACAGATAGAAAGAGAGACAGATTGAAAGAGAGACAGACAGATACACAGAGACAGATACACAGAGACAGATACACAGAGACAGATACACAGAGACAGATACACAGAGACAGATACACAGAGACAGATACACAGAGACAGATACACAGAGACAGATACACAGAGACAGATACACAGAGACAGATACACAGAGACAGATAACACAGAGACAGATACACAGAGACAGATACACAGAGACAGATACACAGAGACAGATACACAGAGACAGATACACAGAGACAGATACACAGAGACAGATACACAGAGACAGATACACAGAGACAGATACACAGAGACAGATACACAGAGACAGATACACAGAGACAGATACACAGGAGCAAGCAGGAGTTCCGGAGTGTGTACCTCGACCGAGACAGAACACAGGACGAAAGGAAGACAATGAAAGAGAGAGTTCAAAAACGAAAGGAGAAATGGGAGGAAATGAAAAAGGAGAGCAGAATAACCCAGGATCAAATGGAAGGACAAGCACACCCCCCAGAAACACCTGCAGAAGGACTCCAGCCACGACACCCCCAAGGCAACTGAACAATCCAAACCAACCATCACACACCGATCCCTCTGTTTCTACCCCCCCGCCGCACCACAGTTACAGTATTAGAACAGAAGTTGAAGGTTTGGTACACAAATGCAGATGGATTAACGAATAAACATGAGGAATGGCAAGAAAGAATCAATGAGAAGTCCCCAGACATCATAGCAGTTACAGAAACAAAACTCATGGAGACAATAACAGATGCAATCTTCCCACCAGGATACCAGATCATGAGAAAGATAGAAGGGGCAGGGGGGAGGTGGGGTTGCTCTGCTCGTAAAAAACAGATGGAAATTCGAGAAAATGGAAGAATAGATGAGACGGGAGAAAGAGACTACATAGCAGGTACACTTCAGTCGGGGAACACAAAGTGGGTCATTGCAGTGATGTATAATCCACCACAGAACTGCAGGAGGCCAAGAGAGGAATATGAAGAGAGCAACAGAGCAATGGTGGACACACTTGCTGAGGTGGCAAGAAGAGCTCACTCCAGCAGAGCAAAGTTGCTGGTTATGGGGATTTCAACCACAGGGAGATTGACTGGGAAAACCTTGAGCCACATGGGGTCCCGAAACATGGAGAGCCAGGATGTTGGACGTGGTGCTGGAAAACCTCATGCACCAACATGTTAAGGACACTACCAGAGTGAGAGGGAGGATGAACCAGCAAGATTGGACCTTGTGTTCACCCTGGGCAGCTCAGACATTGAGGACATCAAGTATGAGAGTCCCCTAGGAGCTAGCGACCACGTGGTTCTGTGCTTTGAATACATAGTAAGCTGCAGTGGAGAGAATAACAGAAGTAGAATGGGAAAAACCTGACTATAAAAGAGGGGACTACATAGGTTGAAGAACTTCCTGCGGGAGGTCCAGTGGACAGAGAACTGGCAGGAAAGCCAGTAAATGAAATGATGGAATATGTAGCAACAAAATGCAAGGAGGCAGTGGAAAGGTTCATTCCCAAGGGCAACAGTAACAACGGGAAGACCAGAACAAGCCCCTGGTTCACCCGACGGTGTAAGGAGGCAAAAACAAAGTGCAATAGAGAATGGAAAAAGTACAGAAGGCAGAGAACACACGAAAATAGGGAGATCAGTCGCAGAGCCAGGAATGATACGCACAGGTAAGGAGGGAGGCCCAGCGACAGTATGAAAATGACATAGCATCGAGAATCAAGACTGACCCGAAACTGTTGTATAGCCACATCAGGAGAAGACAACAGTCAAAGACCAGGTGATCAGATTAAGGACAGAAGGTGGAAACTCACAAGAAATGATCAGGAGGTATGTGAAGAGCTGAACAGGAGATTTAAGGAAGTTTTTACAGTAGAGACAGGAAGGGCTGTGGGAAGACAGAACAGAAGGGAACATCAAGAGGAATATACCAACAAGTGTTGGATGACATACGAACAACTGAGGAGGTGAAGAAGCTCTTAAGTGACCTTGACACCTCAAAGGCGATGGGACCGGACAACATCTCCCCATGGTCCTTAGAGAAGGAGCAGAGATGCTGTGTGTGCCTCTAACCACAATCTTCAACACATCCCTTGAAACTGGGCAACTACCTGAGAAATGGAAGACAGCTAATGTAGTCCCCATATTTAAGAAAGGAAACAGAAACGAGGCACTAAACTACAGACCTGTGTCTCTGACATGTACGTGTGCAAAGTCATGGAGAAGATTATCAGGAGGAGAGTGGTCGAACACCTGGAAAGGATCAAGATTATAAATGAAAACCAGCATGGGTTCATGGAAGGCAAATCTTGTATCACAAACCTCCTGGAGTTTTATGACAAGGTAACAGAAGTAAGACACGAGAGAGAGGGTTGGGTAGATTGCATTTTCCTAGACTGCAGGAAGGCCTTTGACACAGTTCCCCACAAGAGATTAGTGCAGAAGCTGGAGGATCAGGCACACGTAAAAGGAAGGGCACTGCAATGGATAAGGGAATACCTGACAGGGAGGCAGCAACGAGTCATGGTACGTGAAGAGGTATCACAGTGGGCGCCTGTTACGAGCGGGGTCCCACAGGGTCAGTTCTAGGACCAGTGCTATTTTTGATATATGTGAACGACATGATGGAAGGAATAGACTCTGAAGTGTCCCTGTTCGCAGATGACGTGAAGTTGATGAGAAGAATTAAATCGGACGAGGATGAGGCAGGACTGCAAAGAGACCTGGAGAGGCTGGACATGTGGTCCAGTAACTGGCTTCTCGAATTCAATCCAGCCAAATGCAAAGTCATGAAGATTGGGGAGGGGCAAAGAAGACCGCAGACAGAGTATAGGCTAGGTGGACAAAGACTACAGACCTCACTCAGGGAGAAAGACCTTGGGGTGACCATAACACCGAGCACATCACCGGAGGCACACATCAACCAAATAACCGCTGCAGCATACGGGCGCCTGGCAAACCTGAGAATAGCGTTCCGATACCTTAATAAGGAATCGTTCAAGACACTGTACACTGTGTATGTTAGGCCCATACTGGAGTATGCAGCACCAGTCTGGAACCCACACCTGTCAAGCACGTCAAGAAGTTAGAGAAAGTACAAAGGTTTGCAACAAGGCTAGTCCCAGAGCTCAAGGGAATGTCGTACGAGGAAAGGTTAAGGGAAATCGGACTGACGACACTGGAGGACA